CCCTGATACTTGACAGCTCCGAGAAGCACCCCTGCGCATGCGCCAATGGCCGCTCCCACTTCCGTACACGGCCATTAGCGGCTGCCATGTTTGTGTACGGCGTACACGTGACTCGCCGCGACAGTGGCGAGCCGGAGGCAGCGGCCACGGGATGGGGCAATAGGCCCGCCTGATGGATGGAACAAACCGCGCAGGCGCGATAGGTACCCACCGCCGGCTGCCGAGCGGGGGTGCCATCTTCTCAGGGACAGGCTGAGCGGCACATGCGCAAACCCAGCTGTCAGATGCCATCTTGTCACTCGGCTTTATTCAAGCCGCGCGTGCGCACTGAGCAGGCTTGGGCGGTGCTAGGATAGGTTTGAGCCGTGGAGCGCTCCATGTTGTACGGTAGCTCATCGGGTCCAGTCCAGCCCCTCTCCCTAAATGGAACAATGGTCTACCCGACCGCCTGAGGGAACAGAACAGTGCCCGGATGTACAGCGCGTCCAAGGGCATCCCCCCCCATAGGCGGCCTGGGACCGCCCCCACCCATAATGGAATGGAACAGTCCGCCCCTCTCCCTCAAGGTGCAACAGAGCAGCCCCGACTCCTCTCCCGTGGGACGGGACGGTCTAGCATGGGTCTCAGGCCTCTGATTGGCGGAACGGGATTACGTGACGTAAGAAAGACGAAGGCACTTTCCGTACGGGAAAATGGCCGCTCCCATGTGCGGTAACGTAAGGGCTGTACAAGAAGACGGCGGGTCGCGTCTTGTCTCGTTCGCTCATTGGCTCGGCGTATGCGACGCTCTTGTCGCGGCTCCAGACCCAGAGGCAGACCCTCGCTCTGATTGGGCCGCAGCTCCGTAACCTATCGCCGTACGCTATCATGGCGGCGCCCGCTGGTAACAAAGGGCCACTTCCGGTCCTGCGCACTACGGGGAGGAGGGGAACTCGGTTTTTCCGGTGCTGGGCTTCGGAGGAGGAACCAGGAGGAGGGTGAGCGCGCGAGGGCTGGGGGGCGGGGCAGGGTCTGGGGTGTCGGGGGGGGGGGCGCTTGGGGTCGGGGAGGATCTGTGGGGCGGGGACAGGGCCTGGGGGGGTGGAGGATCTCTGGGGTGGGGGGGCGGGATGTGGAGGATCTGTGGGGTGGGGTCGGGGAGGATCTGTGGGGTGGGGACAGGGCCTGGGGGGGTGGAGGATCTCTGGGGTGGGGGCGGGGGGGGGACAGGGCCTGAGGACAGATATGGTATGGGATGTGTATGGCTATTAGGGTGACCAGATGTCCTGATTTTATAGGAACAGTCCCAATATTTGGGGATTTTTTTATATGGGCTCCTATTACCCTCCACCCCCTGTCCCGATTTTTCACACTTGCTGTCTGGTCACCCTAATGGCTATAGGTGGGGTAAGGTCTGGGGTGAAGTGATATGTGGGTAGCAGGGTGGGGGGGGGATATAGGGTGGCTCCCGGGGATGGGGTGAGGTTTGGATATGGGATAGCTACAGGATGGGGGCTGTGTACCGGGGGGAGTGAGAGGCAGGTACAGGATGGGGATGAGGCAGATGCTGGATCCCAGGGTGGGTGAGGGGCCATATAGGGAAAGCACAAGGTATGTGGTGGGGGGGATATAGGGCAGACGCTGGTTACTGGCTGGGGTATATAGGGAAGTAGGATTGGCATTGGGGGTGGGTACTGGGCCTGGCATGGAGTTAGGGCTACAGAGTGGATACTGGGGGTAGATCCAGCACTCACAGTTCTATCTCCCCATGCAGGCAGTGCCCCCTGGGACTGAGAGACCGCCTGCACTGTGGGGGTTACTCCCCGTGGGCCCCCCCTCCGGGATGTGCCCTGCCCTCAGGCCCCCCCTGCAGCTCTGATCCCCAACCCAGGCAGTGACCTACCCCCATGGCTGCCACAGTGGAGAGCAACATCATCATCTTGGACGATGAGGAGGAGGGGCTGCCACCACCTATGCCCAGGGAGCCCCCAGGGCCCGCCTCTGCCTCCCCCCAGCTCAGTGGGACCCCCACCAAGAAACCAGATCCCCTGGCCCAGCATGGTGGCAGCTTCAAGACTGAGAATGAACGGCTCTTTGCAGAGGTGAGTGTCCCTGGTAGAGTCCCCGTTGCCCATGTATGGCCTTCCCTAGCTATGTACCCCTGTTTTCCCCTGCCCCCACATATACCCCTCCCACAGCCATGGACTTCTGTGTCTCTTCCGCATATCCCCCACCCTGTATCCTGTTCCCTGCCCCCCTGAGCCAGCCAGTCCCTGGAGGGGAAAGGCCCCGTGTCCCATTCCCCACCCCCCTGAGCCACCTCTGGGGCTGGATTGGAGCCAGCACCCCCTAGACGGGAAAGGCCCCGTGTCTCATTCCTCAGTCAGCTAGCCTGTGAGGCTTGGGGCTTACTCTGGCCTGGCTAAGTCTACTGGGCTGATCCTGCCCTGTGGGTCTGAGCCCAGCCCGCTCCCCCCTCCCCCGTTGTGAAAGGGGCTTGGGAGGGAGGCCTGTGTGGCTTGAAGCGTGAACAGCCCACGGCTTGTGGGATCTGGGAGGGGTGGAGATGAGTGGGTTTCCAGGGCTGACCCAGCTGGGGGGAGGAGGCTCTGGTTTTGGTTCTTTATCAAACTCTGGGAAGTGAAAGTGCTCGGGGAGGCGTTCCTGTGAACAGGGGCCCTGTCCCCCCAAGCCCTCTCCCCTGAGCCGGGTCCACTCCCCACAACGCCCTGTGACTTCCATCAGTGCCTTGCTGCCCTGGGCTCTGCCACTCTCGGTCCCCTGCCCCACTGGCCCTGCTGTCCATGTGACCACCTCTGTGTTGTGTGAGCATGTGCGCCCCTCGCCCTAGCTCTGTCTCCACCTGGTCCGGACACCCATTCTCCCTTCCGCCGGGTCCTGGAGTGCTGGCACCCATCTGACCCTTCCCCCATGCCTCTCTCCCCAGTTCCTGGAGTGCTGTAGCCGGCTGACGGAGGAGCACCCTGAGGTGATCCCATTCCTGGCCAGCCGGCACCAGAAGGCCGGTGCCGAGTTCCTGGCCTCAGCTGAGTTTCGCAACGTGCTGGGGCGCTGCCTGACCCGTGTGCAGAGCAAGCGCAGCAAAGTCTACGTCTACATCAACGAGCTGTGCACCGTGCTCAAGGCCCACACGCAGCGCCGCAAGCTGGCGCTCAGCTCAGCCCCAGCCCCCACTGCCCCCCACCAGCCGGAGCCCGCAGCGCCCGAGGCGGAGCGGGAGGGGACGTCGGGACAGCGCGGCACTGGCTCCAAGCGGCAAATCCGCTACCTGGAGAACCTGCTGCGTGTCTACATGGGGGAGATCCGGCGGCTGCAGGAGCGGGAGCTGGACCTGGCTGAGCTGGACAACGAGGACTCCACCTACCTGCAGGAGAGCCGGCTCAAGCGCAAGATGATGCACATCTTTGAGCGGCTGTGCCAGCTCAAGCAGTGCAGCAGCCTGACGGGCCGGGTGATCGAGCAGCGCATCCCCTACCGGGGCACCCGCTACCCGGAGGTCAACCGGCGCATCGAGCGCTTCATCAACCGGCCCGACGTCTTCCCCGACTACACCGACATCCTCAAGGTGATCCAGAAGGCCAGTGCCCGCCACAGCCTGGGCCTGGCCAAGCGCCAGATGCAGAGCATGGCATTGGATGCCTTCCGCGAGGTGGGCAACCGCCTGCAGGAGCGGCGCCACCTCGACCTGGTCTACAACTTCGGTAGCCACCTCACCGACCAGTACCGGCCTGGTGAGAGCATGGGGGGGGGGCCGTACCAGCCTGGTGAGAGCGCGGGGGGATGGGGG